TGCAATGGCAGATGTTTTAAAAATGTCCAAGAAGGATTGTTTAAATTGTGTGCGTATCTTTATGTGTGTGAGTTTGTATTAAATGCTATTAAATCTCTTACACACTACTACCCTCTACACCACCGCCACTTGAGTTTATAATAAGCCATCGAAATAAATTTCAATTAACCATTTGTTGTTGTTGCTTTTAATAAAAGTCTGCCAAACTTTAATTCACATTGGCAAAAGGGTTGTATGATGATGAATTGTATATGAAGAAGTAATTATTTCAACTTTAAACTATTGTTGTTATTATTTTTTTTGTATAGACGAAACAACCCTTGGTTTCTGTCAAGTAGTTACTGGCTTTATACATTTTTTTCGCAAATATATTTTAGTTTCGTGTTAAATATTAATTTTCTAAATTACAACCCCTTGAATTTGGATTTTTATTTTATTCAAATTTTTGGATCGTACATCATAACAACAACCCTTTGAGATATTTTTTTATTTAATAAAACTAGATTCTAGTTGTGATGAAATTTTAAAATGTTTGCTTTTATTTTCGTATTTCGCTTCTTTAAAAATCCGCTCCCTGAAACAAATTCTTTAAAAAAAAAATCACTCCATGATTAACAAACCACGCTTTATAAGCCTTGAGAAAAATATTGTTTAAAAAATACAAGCCATGCTGACCTTTGATTTTTTTAAAGTCAAGGCTTTTCATATTCCCTGAAAAAAAAATTCAAGGGATTTTTCAATATTTTTATTAAAAAAAAATATTTAAAAAAAATTCAAGCCTATTATGGCCTTAAAAATATTTTTTAAAAAAAATCCAAGCTTAATATGACCTTAAAAATATGACTTTAAAAAACCATGCCTAATATGGGCTCTGAGAATTTTTGAATTAAAAAAAATCTACACCATTTAAGTAGTCCTAATTTTTTTTATTTTTTTAAAATCCACGCTTAAAATGACCTTAAAAATGGCTTTAAAAAACCATGCCTAATATGGGCTCTGAGAATTTTTGAATTAAAAAAAAATCTACACCCTTTATGTAGCCTAACATTTTTTTTATTCTCTAAAATCCAGGCTTTTAAAATGAGGAATCTTTGTACACAAAATTTTATCGATTTTTAGAATTCAAATGTCATCTCCAGGTTATCTATATTTATTTTCCAAAATTCCAAACCGAAATAATTTGTGTCACACAATTAAATTCATATTAACCTAGAGGTTGTTGGAAAGAAAAATTATCCTGAAAGAGGGTAAATATTAAAAGTTCTTGGAAAAAATGTGTGACATCCAACGTTAATATGCAAATACCAAGTTACAGCCTATTCGGATTAAAAATGTGACTATACTTCCCGAAAGTACCGAAATTTGGTAGGGGACTACCCTAAAAAATGGATAAATATTGATAATATATATATATATATTCGGTATAAATTTTATATGTACCGATTTCTCTTGTTCAGTGAGATATACTGAAATTTGATGGAGAATATTTTTGTCCTTTATACCATCCTTCAAAAACGACATCTAGTGGAACAAAATGGTACAAACTCGCAATAAGATCGGTTTTAAACCCAAAAAATTGTTTTCATCTGTTTAAGAGTTTTTTGTGATAAATGACGTCTATATATTCAGTATATATAATACATATACCGGTTTATCTTCTTCAGTGACTTATACTGAAATTTGATGGAGAATATTTTTGTTCTTTATACCATCCTTCAAAAACGACATCTAGTGGAAAAATGGTACAAACTCGCAATAACATCGGGTTTAAACCCAAAAATTTGTTTTCATCTTTTTAAGAGTTTTTTTTGTGATAAATTGACGTCTATATATTCGGTATATATAATACATACACCGATTTCTCTTGTTCAGTGACTTCTACTGAAATTTGATGGAGAATATTTTTGTACTTTATATCATACTATTCAGACGACATCTAGTGGGAAAAATTGGTACAAACTCGAAATAACATCAGCTTCAACCAAAAAAAAAAATGAGTTAATATTTTTCGATTTTTTTCCTAAATTGAGGTCTATATATTCGGTATATATATTATATATACCAATTTCTTTTGTTCAGTGACTTCTACTAAAATTTTATGGAGAATATTTTTGTCCTTTATACCATCAATTTAAAACGGCATCTAGTGTGGAAAATTGGAACAAACTCAAAATAAGTTTATAACGTTAAAACGAGTTTTCATATTTTTAAAATTTTTTTGTTCTCAATTGACGTCTATATATTCGGTGTATATAATAACATATACCGATTTCTCTTATTCAGTGACTCATGCTAAAATTCTATGGAGAATATTTTTGTCCTGCATACCATTCTTCTAAAACGACATCTAGTGGGAAAATTGGTAAAAACTAGGAATAGGATCGTTTTTAACCTCAAAAATTCGTTTTCATATTTTTGACGTTTAGACTGATTTTTGACTTTTTGTGTTTGTGGGACTTATAGTAAACCGGTATGGCGCACATTTTTGCGGAATATTCTGTCCTGCTATAACCCCGCTTTGAATGAGTTTTCAATCATTTCTGAAAAAAGGGGAGCGAAAAGACCACTTCAGAGAATCTACTGAGGGTTAGTTGGTATTTTTTGCAATAATTTTCAGAACACTTAATAAGCTGTGGATATTTAAAAATATTTTTTCTAGCATCCTTTGGAAGTCGTGGATTTTCTAATAATAATTTTTCCATACTCTCCACTAGGGGAGGGGGATTTAAAAAAAATAAATTTCAAGACCTGTGGATTTTTTAAATTTTTTTTCTGGACTCCCTGCTAGGTCATGAATTGTTCTAAATTATTTTCTATACTCTCCACTAAGGCGTAGTTTTTTTAACAAACTTTCAAGATTCTTTAATAAGCTGTGGATTTTTTAAAATCATTTTTCAGGGCCCTTAATTAAATGTGGATTTTTTGAATAATTTTTCAGGACTCTTTAATAAGCTGGGATTTTTTTTTTTAAATAATTTTTCAAATCCTCTTAATGAGCTGTAGATTTTTAAATATATTTTTTATGTTATGTTAAAAAGACATTGTCTTTTCCCCCAACAAAGTCGTGGATTTTTTTAATAATTTTTCTAGACTCCTTACTAGGTCATGAATTATTTAAAATTTTTTTTCTATACTCTCTTCTAAGGCGTGGATTTTTGAGAATAATTTTTCTAGACTCCCTTGTAAGTGGTGGATTTTTTTAAATATTTTGTTTAGTCTCCATTCTAAGCCACTAAGTCGTAGATGTTTTAAAAATAATTTTTTCTGTACTCCTCACTAGGACATTAATTGTTTAATTTTTTTAAAACCAATTTTTTTGAATTTTTTTTTAATTTTTTTCTAGCCTCACTTCTAAGACATGACTTTTTTTAATATTTTTTTAGACTCCCTTATATGTCGTGTATTTTTTAAAATATTTTTTTATACTTTTTAAATATTTTGTTTAGTCTCCATTCTAAGCCACTAAGTCGTAGATGTTTTAAAAATAATTTTTTCTGTACTGCTCACTAGGGCATTAATTGTTTAAATTTTTTTAAAACCAATTTTTTTGATTTTTTTTAATTTTTTCAATATATGTTTTCTAGACTCACTTCTATGACATGACTTTTTTTAATATTTTTTAAACCAATTTTTTTTGATTTTTTTTTTAATTTTTTCAATATATTTTTTCCAGACTCACTTCTAAGACATGACTTTTTTTATATTTTTTTAGTAACACCTTCTATGTCGTGTATTTTTTAAAATATTTTTTTATACTCTCCTCTAGGACGTGCATTTTTTAAAATAATACTTCTAGAGGCCATTCTAAGTCGTGGAATTTTAGAAATAATTTTTATGGAGTCCCCACTAATTCGTGGATTTTTTAAAATATATTTTCGTGACATTTTCTAGGTGGTAAAATGTTTTCTTTTTTTCTATACTCTCCACTAAGGCTTGGATTTTTAAAATATATTTTCTAGACTCCCTACTAGGTGGTAAAATGTTTTAATTTTTTTACATACACTCCACTAAGGCTTGAATTTTTTTAAATTATTTTTCAGAATCCCTTAATGAACTGTGGATTTTTTAAAATATTTTTTTTATATTTTCTTAATACTAATTTTAAGAGTTATTTTTAATACTAAAACAGGACACCGTGTCTTTAGTAAATATCAAAAATGCCACCAAAGATGATTTCAATGATTTCAATACTTTGGCATTTCCATTTTTTTTTTTTTATAAACAAAACCCAAAATCAAACCTTGAAAATGCATTAAAAATTTCTACAAAAAAAGACGATGAACATTTTCAAAAGAAAAACACAAAGATTCATTGATCACTTAAAAATGTGTGCGATCATTAGAATTATGGTTAAAAAAAGAAAACAAAAATTATAAACACTAATATAAAATCAATATTGGCTAAATGATTTTTTTTTTGAATCATACTTTTTCGAATTCAAAACCAAATGGTCATTTGGGTTGTGAAGGTGGTGTTTGAATTTCAACAGAAAAATATTTTTTTTTTTTTGAGGAAATGATTAATAGTCTTAGAAACTAATCTGGAACCCAAATCAAACAGACAAAAAAAAACACATTGGAAACCCACTCAAGTTGTCGGGCGACAATAGTAGTGACGGTGATGATGATGACAACAAAACTTAAAACAACTAAATCCTCCTCAATGAGAACAAAAATTAAAAACACGAAATTTTATTTTTCTTGCTTTTTTTAAATAAAGGTGTGTGTTTCTTTTTTATTAATAAAAGATTTCAAACTCAGAGAAAAAAACGAAACTAAACAATGATATAGGCGACCAATATAAACGATGTGTTGAAAATATTAAATAGCAAAGGAAAAAAAAATCGCATGCACGCGGAGTCTCGTTGACTAACATATTTAATGAATTAGCTGTTAAGTTTTGCCTTAAGTAGAATTAAAACAACAAACCTCGATATCCCCCCCCCCCCCCCCCCCCACTTCCCACCTCAAACACTAATGAAATTAGTTTAATGTTGAATGATGGTAGGTAACGCTTGCCTAACCCAAAATTATGTTAAATCCCGCTCAAATAAATTTTGCTCCTATCAAGATGCTAGGGAGCTGACAATGATGTTGATCGCCGTCATCATCATCATCATGATCATCGTGTTTAACCTCATTATTATTATGATTAAGGTTTGTGATCAAAAGATTGTAGGTCTCATTGAAACCTAAACGACAAATGTTATGTGTATAACCGGAGCGAGCTATGCTTCGGAAGAAAAGGAAGTAATATTTTATTTATATGTCTACTTTTGGTTTAGCTGAAATTCACTTATGGCAAAAAACACACCCAAAGAATTTGAAAATTTTCAAAAAAAAAAAAACACATTGCAACAGCAACAACGACAACCTAAATATTATCTCAGAGGAAAAATCAATGAAACCGTTTTTCCTGTTGCAAAATGCGAATGCGTGCGCCATACTCCATTTATGATGATGTTTGACACAGATCGAAATGGGGTTCAATGGAAGTTGGATCAAACAACAAGTTAGAGCATAAATTCTGCAAGTAAAGAATAAATTCTAAATGATAAGAAAATTTAAAAGATTTTTAGATGGTAGATATTTAAAATTTTAATCGAAACCGTAGCTAATCGTACATAATACGAAGTTATCCAACCGGGTATTTCGATAGCTGTTCACTTTTGAATATGTCCTTCTTGGAGACTTAAGAAACTAGGTCATTGTGATGGAACTATTCCCTAAGAGTTATAAAAAATTATCCTCAATAAAAACCGAACTTTTTATAACCTCCAGCATGGAGCGGAATGACAAATTTAATATCCACTCAAAACGGAACGGAAAATTCACACGATAATTATTACCGTAAATAGTTTCACCTCCAATTCCTTTTACATATAATTTTGTTCGACGATTTTTGTTTTCGACATGATTTTGAATATCCGACGGTTGAGTAGTGAATGGCGGAGAGGAACTGGTCTCAACTATAGTACACCATTTGATACAAATGCAATGCAATTCTCAATCAATTGTTCATTCGCAATTAAGGGTGTGGGGATGCAGGGTAAATGTGGTGCAATTATATGTTAGGGTATGTGGAAAGTATTTCCTTAAAGCTTTCTTTTTCTATTTTGTTTTTCTATAATTATGTGACAATTATTTTAGCAACAATTAGTATTTTTCCGGCCCACCGTACTAAAGATAAGGCGTACATTGTTTACAGAAAATTTGTCCTCTGTAATTTTAAAAATATTTCTCTAGTTTTTATACCCTTCACCACACTGTGGTACTGGGTATTTTGTCTTTGTGCATATGTTTGTAACAGGCAATAGGAATCGAGATAGTCCCATGTTTCCTTTTGAGAATATGCATAGAATCACGTTCATAGTCGATTTGTGCATATCCGTCTGTCTGTCCGTCTATGTATTTTTGTGAACAAAGTACAGGTCGCATTTATGATCCGATTTAGATGAAATTTGGCACAGCTCATTTACTTGGCCCAAGGATGAACCCTGTGGAAATGGAAATTTAGATATAGCTCCCATATATAGTTTCGTCCGATTTTATGTATAAATCCCATATATATTTTCGTCCGATTTAATGTAAATGGTGTACCAAAGTCCCTATATATCTTTCGATTTCCACGAAATTTGGCATAGAGTAATGAATTAGGTCTAGAATTATGTGTGTTAAGTTTCGTGAAAATCGGTTCATATTTAGATATAGCTCCCATATATATTTTGGTCCGATTTTATGTAAATAGTGCACCAAAGGCCCTATATATATCTTTCGATTTGCACGAAATTTGGCACAGCGTACTGAATAGAGTCTAGAATGATGTATGTTAAGTTTCCTGAAAATCGGTCCAGATTTAGATATAGCTCGCATATATATTTTCGTCCGATTTAATGTAAATTGTGTACCAATGTTCCTATATATCTTTCGATTTCCACGAAATTTGGCATAGAGTAATTAATTAAGTCTAGAATGATGTGTGTTAAAGTTTCCTGAAAATCGGTTCAGATTTCGTCCAATTTTAAGAAAATGGTTCACCAAAGACCCAAAGGTAGGCCGATTTACAGAACATTTTGTACAACGTACTGAAGTTAATATAACCTAACGAATGGAAAGTATTGAAATCGGTTCAGATTTGGATAGAGCTCCTATATATATTTTCTCCTGATTGTAAGTACATGATGCACCAAGAACTCAAAATGTGGCCATTGGCAAGTTTCGATGAAATCAGTTTAGATTTCGATATATATGTATATATAATGGTCTTTAAAAAAATTCGACGTCAGTTTGGATTCATCTGTTGAATATACCCAAAGTAGTGAAGGTTATCATATAGTCGGCCCCGTCCGACTTTACTACTTTCCTTACTGGTTTTAATGTAATTTTTCCAGAATAACCACAATATTTTTACACTCCCTCTACTAGGTGACGGCATCGATATAAATTATTGACTATCAACAATTAAGTGTTGAATTGTTGGAATGTTAATTGTTTAATTGCAAAAAAATACCATTATTGTCCTTTAAAAGAGATCAGGTGAGTTTCATATTTAGTCGAACAAAACTGCAAATAATTGCAACTCTCCTACCCTTCCTCCTCGTCCTCCTACATGGTATATATTACAATTATTTGTAATTAACACAGAATACAGGAAATGATGATCCAACAACATTCAGTAGAGTACAACAGTCGAACTCGCAACATATCATCATGTCACAGAAAATATCCGAACGTCTGTACAAAATTGTACGTATTACAAAGTTTTGTGCCAATATTTGTGGACTCGATATTTATGAGGATGATTATCGTGTGAATGTTCGCACAATTTTCACGATTACCGTTATTGGGGTATCCTTCGTATTTCTCACCTATGCCATGCTCGATGGTTACTACCAAGAAGGAGACTGGACCATTCTAGTCCAGGTTATATCATTGGCAGGTGGTACTTTGCTGCAGGTGAAATGAAAGCAATAGTTTATCTTGTATCGTGCCGTAACTAAAACTTAAATCGATTTTAGGGATTTTTTGTGGTAATTCTCTTCCTAACGAAACAGGAAAAATATCGTTTTCTACTCAAAGAATCGATGGCTCTTTACGAGAAATATGAACAAAAGGACTCGGATTATCGCATGTATCTGAACAAGGGTATACTTCTGTTGACCAACTTTATGAAGATTTGTGCTTTTATTAATTTAATGCTGGTACTGGGTATGAGTTCGGTGACCATTATTTATAACTTCATATTCGGGACCTATGAAACATTGGTCTATGGCTATTGTCCATGGGTTAGTATCTACACAACTGGAGGTCTGTGGGCCACAAATGCGGTACAGGCCTTGTTTATAGCCGTGGGTGGTTTTGGTTTGTATTCCGGTGATATGTCAGTGCTGACACCGATCTCTCAAATACCCACATTTAAGGGTATACTGCAGTGTAAATTTCGTGAAATCAATGATCTCTTGGATGATGATTACGACACGGAGTTGGAAAAGAAGTCGAAGACTTTGGCTGCTCTCAAGGATATTCTGCAATTTCATCAGAAATATTTAATGTATGTTGGGAGGGGGAGTGTGGGTGGGGTTTTCAGTTTTCAAATGTTTAGACATAAAAATTACAAAAAATCTACAGATTTCTTGAGGTTAGCCGGGATGCTGTTTATTGGAGTGTCTTTGTCAAAATGGGAACTTGTTTCATTGGTGTTGCCTTTGCCCTATTCTGCATCATGTTGGGCTCTTGGCCAGCTGGTTACATTTATTTGCTCTACTGTTTTGTAATGATGCAGGTATTTTGCGGTATGGGCACCTTGGTGGACATAACTGTAAGTTGTGTGTGTGTGTGTTTTTTCATTTTTTAAGAACCGATTTTTTTATTTATTTATATTTTTGAATAATTTTTTATGTAGAATGAAGAATTTATTCAATCATGCTACAATGATGCCCGCTGGTATGATCTGACCATATCGGAAAAGAAAATGTTGAATATTATGCTAATGATGGCCCAGAAAACAGAGGGCCTAACAATTGCCTCAATAATGCCGCTCTCCATGAATACGGGTCTGCAAGTTACCAAGACAATTTATTCGCTAACAATGTTATTGTTGACATTTGTCAACTGATTTGAAAAAAAATGGATACATATTTGTTTTTGCACTATATATTTGAGTGTAGTTTTGCACCATTCTTAGAAAAATTAAAAAATAAAATAATATTTGTAAACAAAACAAAACAAAAATAAAATAATATTTGTAAAATATTGTAAAACAAAAAATCCACGCCAAAAAAAAAATATTTAAAAAATCCGAGCCTTAAAAATAAATATTTATAAAAAATCCACGCCAATTTTTTTTTTTAAGACGCCTTAAAAATTATTTGAAAAAATCATAAATGGTAAGGCTTAAAAAATTATTTAAAAAATCCACGCCTTCTGTAGGAATGACCCTTTAAAAAAAATATTAAAAAAATCCACGCCTAATTTTTTTAGTCTACGCCTTAAAAAATATTTAAAAAAATCCAAGCCTAACTTTTTTATTATCTACGCCTTAAAAAAATTATTTAAAAAACTCGCCTTAAAAAATTATTTAAAAAATCCACGGCTAATTTTTTTTAATCTAATCCACGGCTATTTTTTTTTAATCTAATCCACGCCTAATTTTTTTAATCTACGTATTAAAAAAAATTATTTAAAAAAACGCCTTAAAAAATTTTTTAAAAAAATCCACACCTAATTTTTTTGTAATCTACGCCTTAAAAAAATTATTTAAAAAATCCACGCCTAATTTTTTTAATCTACGCCTTAAAAAAATTATTTAAAAAAATCCAACCCTTTTTTTAATCTACGCCTTAAAATTATTATTTAAAAAAATCCACGGCTAATTTTTTTAATCTACACCTTCAAAAAATTATTTAAAAAATTCACGCCTTTAAAAAATAATTAAAAAAAAAATCTAGACGCATTAAAAAATTATTTAAAAAAAATTCCCATTTTAAAATTATTTAAAAAAATCTAATCTTAATAAAATCTTTTTTAAAAAAATCCACGCCTATTTTTTTTAAAAAATCTACGCCTTAACAAAATATTTAAAAAAAAAATCCTACAAATTTTTAAAAAAAAATCTATGCCTTAAACAAATTATTTAAAAAAATAAGACTCCTTAAAAAATATTTAAAAAAATCTAGACTCCTTAAAAAATTATTTAAAAAAATCTAGACGCCTTCAAAAAATTATTTAAAAAAATCTAGACGCTTTCAAAAAATTATTTAAAAAATCCACGCCTTCAAAAAATGTTTAAAAAAGCCACGCCTTCAAAAAATTTTTTAAAAAATCCATGCCCATTTTTTTTTATTCTACGCCTTAAATTTTTTTTTTAAATCCATGGCTAATTTTTTTAATCTACACATTAAAAAAAATTATTTAAAAAATTCACGCCTTAAAAAAATAATTTAAAAAAATTTAGACGCCTTAAAAATTATTTTAAAAAATCTAGACGCATGACAACAATATTAAAAAAAATTAGACGCCTTAAAATTTTTTTTAAAAAAATCTAAACGCATGAAAACATTATTTGAAAAAATCTAGACGCATGAAAACATTATTTAAAAAAAAATCTAGACTCCTTAAAAAATAATTTAAAAAAAATTTGACTCCTTAAAAAATTAAAAAAAGCCAAGCCTTCAAAAAATTATTTAAAAATCCACGACTTCAAAAAAAAAATGTTAAAAAAGCCACGCCTTCAAAAAATTATTTAAAAAATCCACGCCTTCAAAAATTATTTAAAAAATCCACGCCTTCAAAAAATAATTTAAAAAAATTCACCACTAAAAAATTTTTTGAAAAAATCCACTCCTTAAAGAAATTATTTAAAAATCCACGCCTTCAAAAAATAATTTTAAAAAATCCACCACTAAAAAATTTTTTTGAAAAAATCCACTCCTTAAAGAAATTATTTTAAAAAGTCCACGCCTTAAAAAAATTATTTAAAAAAAATGCACGCAAAAAATATTTAAAATATCCACGCCTTAAACAAATTATTTAAAAAAATTCACACAAAAAAATTAAAAAATCCACGCCTTAAAAAATTGTTTAAAAATATCCACGCCTTAAAAATAGTTTAAAAATATCCACGTCTTAACAATTTATTTAAATAAAATTTCCGCCTTAAAAAATCATTTAAAAATACCCACCCCTAAGAAATTATTTAGAAAATCCAGGCCTTAAAAATTTAAAAATAAAATCCAGTCCATTTTATGTTGAAATGGTATAAAAATATAAAATTTATGTATGGCTGGATTTTTTTTAAATATTTTTTTAAGATATTAGGGTTTTCCAAAAAAAAACAAAAAAAATAAATACTTTTCATACATCTTCAAAATAAAAACAACAACAAAATATTATCACCAATTAATTGTTAATTTTTTGGAACGTTTAATTACCTTCTCTAACCCCATGATGGAATAACAAATTCCAGCCAAAATCTAACCAAATACGACAAGCATACAACAAGTCAGCTAGCCAGCCAAGCGACCAATCCAACATAAATTGCTGATAATCGTTTTATTACGTGCTTTTAATTTAAACTAATTTCAGTTGCTAAAGTAATTGCGTTTTGGCGTTTTTTTTCTAACCCAGCATAACAACTAAAAAATTCAATAGAAACAGAAACAACAAAAATAAAAATTAAACCCTTATATTTTCATAGTTCCTACAGACAAAAAAAAAACAAAACTTCGATGATCGGGAAAAATAGAAACAGTAGCTGACAAACTAAAGTTTTTACAAATTGTGATGTGGAAATTTTCTTATAATAACAACAACAAACAAATTAATGAATTTAGTTTAAAATGTGACCCCTCTCCTCTCACCCCCAGTGCCTTACATTTGATCGTACGATATTACAGACCCCTTTCCACAATATTCCAAAAAAATTGACAAAAAAAATTATTTAATTGTTTTATTGCCATCAAATGGGAATGCGCCTCTGTTTTATTGTCTGTTTGAGAACACCGAATAAAATGCGGGTTATACGCATTTTAATTGTATTTGTTGTTGTTGTTGTTGCTGTTAGTGTATATTTATTCCACCATTACTCCTGCTGTTCATGCCGTTGTTGTTTTGCTGTTTTATTCTTTTTTTGTTTTTATTGCTGGCGTTTCGATCTTTTCGTGAACATGAATAATTTTTCAACAGCAGCAGCAGCAGCAACACCACCGAACCACCAACTGTAACCCCTTAAAAGCAAAAAGGCGTTAACCATACCCGCTACTGTTGGTTTTGAACTTTTTTTCTTTTTTTTTTTTTTTTTTGTTCGTCGTCAGCTTCAACAGCTCCACTTGATCGAGAGAGAGAGAGGGAGAATAAGAAAAAAAATATCCAAATGGTATGATCACCGGTGATCTCCCCCCTCCAACAAAAAAAAGAGCTATAAAACAACACACTATCGATATCTAAAAGTAAGTATCAGTGACGATGTTTGAATATCTTTACTAAGTTTATTTGAATATTGCTATAATCGATGGCTTTTTGTTTTCTTATATGGGTACTGAGAATATTGGGGTGGATCGTAAAAAAAGTACTTACTTATATAGCAGTTTTGGAAAATTTTAATCTTGGATACAAAAAAACTTACCTGAAAAAGAAAATAAATTAATTAAATTGTTTAGTAAAAATATTGAAAACAAATTATCCGAAAATGGTTATTATCGAAAAAATGTTAAAAAATGGAAATATATAAAATATATATTTTTTATTAAATAATTATTAATCATTCTAATATTTTATTTAAAATAATTATCGATATTTTTATAGAAATTATTTTCGATTATTTAATCGATAACACAATATTTTTTTTTTTTGGTGATTTAAAATTGTTTGTCTTCTTTCCCTCTCTCCTCTCTCTCCCCACTCTCCTAGCTTTTTGATCTTGCACATCATAGTGCAACATGAATTTATTGCCCTGCATCATGCCAAATCAATTGACAAGCAATCGTTGTAATTAAATTCATTCGAAGAGGGAGCGAAACAGAACAGTATTGAAAAAAAAAATCAAATGGCAAAATCTGCAGAAAAGTGGATTTTTTTTAAATTTTCAACGACAACACACACACACATTCCACTCGATACAATGTTACGTTCTATTTATTGGCTATTAATTAGAAATAATAATTGTTGTTGTTGCTTGTTGCTTGTCTGTCTGTCTCCGCAAATCGAAAACATTGTATGCATATTAAATATATTTTTTCTGAAAATAGTTTCTTTCAATTCGAATTCAAGGTGGAGACCGGAAAGAATGTTTTGTAATATGGTACACATCATCGTATTTGCTAAAAATAATTGGGGAGGATGGGAATTTTTGAAATAGAATAAAACAAAATATTAAAAATAAAATGTGGGGTAAATATTACCATGAAAGGAAAATTTTAATTTAATTGTGGAAGAATTAAAACAAAAAATCAATAATATTGACATAGGGAAGTGGGTAATGTGGAGTGAAATTTTCCACCAAAGGAAAATTTAAAATTTTTGTAAAACAAATTAAAAAAAATAAAATAATATTGGGTGAGAAAATTATTGGTATAGGGAAGGAGGAAATATTGGATGGAATTTTCCACCAAAAGAAAATTTAAAATTTTTGTAAAACAAATTAAAAATTACAATTTTTGTAAAACAAATTAAAAAAATTAATAAATTGTGAGAGAGAAATATTGGCATAGGAAAGGGGAAATATTGACTGAAATTTTCCACCAAAAGAAAATTTAATTTTTTTGCAAAACAAATTAAATAAAATTGGGAGAGAGAAATGGACCTTCAACATATTATAAAAAATAATAATAAATAAAAATATCCCGAAAAAAATTAAATAATATTGGGAGAGAGAACTGAAACCTAACATGTCTATGTATTATAAAAATAATAATAAATTAAAATATCCCAATTTTCTGTACCTCTCCTACCTCCCTTCCCTATAAACATGGCCTCAATATCCAATAAATATTAAATAATTTCCCCCTCTGTAATAAAACTGTACTTTGTACAAATTTTAATTATTTTTTTTTCTTTATAAAGAAATTGCCATATTTATATGCGCCAATGATCATCATCGTCCGCATCATCGTGATTGTC